ATTTTACTAAGTTGCATTTATTAGCTGTTTCCCCCAGCCGCACGTCTACCGCAATGTCCCATTCCTGGAACACAATGGATCGCATATATATTGTTTCCTTACGTTCTGGGGTAGGAGGGGGCGTGGCAGTGCCATTCAAGTCAATGGCACTGCAGACATGCCCCCCTGCCCACAGTAAGATCGGCTGCACAGGAACGTGCGGTAATAAAATCCCCTGCGCTCCAGTGCGGTGGGATTGCAAAAAATCGTGCATGAATGTTTTTTGCGATCCCACCGCTTTGGAATGCAGGGCATTTTATTACCGCACGTAACTGTGCGGCTAGGGTAAGTCAGATCAATATTCATTCAAGCAAAACAAATGGCAAACACACTTATCAACTCATAACCAGCTTTCAAGCATGGTGCATATGGAAGGGCTCAATATTCATAACTCAGTGATTGACCTTCCTCCACCACTTTGTTTACTGAAGCCTCCTTCACAGTAATAGGCGACAGCAATCAACCCAACTGAGCTTAGGGAAGACCTCCAGAGAGTAGAAAAAAAGCAAATAACAAACACAGGCTGGTTACAACCTAGCAGCAATGCACTATAAATTCCATTATGGACACAGTAGCATCAGGCGGGTTCTCTACATAAGTAGTAAGTATTTGTTTTTCTACATTCAACTTTTATTGAGAAGATATGAAAACAAAAAACAACAAGTGGGAATTTATCAAAGCACTTATGACAGTTTTAGCCTCTTAGATCATTTTTTAATGTGCAAATCTGTCTTTTAACATGTGCCCCTGTTTTCACCTGAGCTTGCACTACTTTTCCAACTGCATGTGTTTTGCCCAAAGCTTGGACTACTTTTCCAACTGCACATGTTTTTTGCACATGCTTTGCACCTGTTTTCTTCAGAGCTTGCACTACTTTTTCAACTGCATGTTTTTTTCACCTGTTTTCATCTGCACTTGTCCCGGGGCTGTATGAAACTGGAGCATCACCTAAGAAAACAGTCACAACTTAAGTAGTCCCCGTGACCACTTCTTCGACAGTTAAGCTTTTAGCCTGAAGTTAGAAGTCTTTTTTCCTGGAGTCTATTAAACCTCATTTATCAACAACATTACACTAGCTTGATAAATCTGGTGCAAATATATTCCGTGCCAGTTCAAACACTCGCAATTGGTATGATAAATTCCCCCCAACATGTCTAATGAAAATGACATTTATTATAAAGGCTTAGACGGCATTGATAAATAAGGTGCAAATAACGTGGACAATTTGTCACTTAAAGAAAAGTGGAGCAACTCCCTTGATAAATTCCCCCCACAGTCTTTATACAGAATAATAAGCTTGATATAGGAAACATATTGAAAATATAGTATTAATTCAACAATAATAGAAAATGTCTTAACTAAACAATCTTATATGTATTGAAACTGGGAAAGATGTTTTCACAACAAATAAAACTGCAATCATGAGTGTTAGATGTCAAAATTGAGAGGCAGAATATGAAAAGGGGATAGATAATAAACAATAGTGCTGAGGCTCAAAGTGCCTGAACTTGGGCAGCAATGTTGGTATTCTTTCTGCATAGGATGTTTTATAGGATGTTGCCCCTGTACAAGTGTTGTTGCTGTACATAGCCTTGGTGCTGCGAGTTGTTATACTACAATGCTGTGCTGGATGTTGCTGTTAGACTTTCTTGATGGAGTGGCCGGGCAGCGCAGCATCACCAGATACAACAGCTGAGCAGCGATGGGCACATAGGAAAGACACAAGTGTTGGATTCTTCCTTATTTTTTCAGGTGACCTTCAACTCTGTTGTTACTACAGTTGATTATTAACCGTAGGGGCGATACAAAGTACAGTTAAAGTACATGTAGACCCAAACTGGATAACATTTCATTTCCAGAGTTCTGTACCATAGACAGTTTCCATGTTTTCTTTCATTTAGACATTACTGAACAGGTATTGACTGGTATTTTTTTTTTTAACCACTTGCTGTCAGAGCAATTTCTTACAATTTGCACACACATGATATCATCTGAATTTTGGCTAGAAAACAGCTTCAAACCCCCAAACAATGATATATTTTCTGAAAGCAAAGGCAATGTAGAATAAAAAAATACTAGCTGCAATTTTTTATGTTGCACGGTATTTGCGCAAATGTTTATCAAACCAGTATTTTTAGGATAAAACACACTAAAATTAAATTTAGTGCACAGAAGTAGAATAGAATACCCAATTTTTTGGTAAAATATAAAAGACGGGGTCACTTCAGATACATAGATACCAAACATGTCAAGCCTTAAAATTGCATTCACCCGTGAAGCCGCAAAAAACATCAATACCCAACATTTCCCATAGGGGACATTTTAAAAGCCTGACATTTGACTAAGCGCTAAGCTCATCAGTTTAGTGTAAACAGTGATTAATGGCTCTAGAATTATTGCTCGCACTCCGACGTTCGTCACGATATGTAACATGTGTAGCTCAATTTTAGTTTTCGCACGTAGGCGCACCAACATGTATTTGCATGCACGTGGGGGGCGGGGGACTTTAAACATTTAATTTTTTTGCATTTTTAAACATTTCCTTATATGTTACTTTAATTTTTTTTTAAACGCTTTTTTTTTTTTTTACACCAACCTTATTGCTATCACAAAGGGGGCTAACAAGCCCCCTATCTAATAGCAGATAGGGTGTGACAGGTCCTCTTTATGGAGACATCAGGGGTCTTCCAGACCCCTGATATCACCTAGGGACCACAAAGAAACTGAGGAAGCAGAGATCTGCTTCCCCAGCGTTATCTCCTGGCTCTAAGATCTGGAAAATGTGCACAGTGACACTGAAAGTGATGTAAGACACATCACTAACGGGTCCAGTGATCAGAGGACAGATCAGCGGCTGGATGCCTGCTGATCTCGCTCCATTGGTTGTGGGAAGACCCGCCATGCTAGTCCCCTGCCCCACACGTGGGTCAGCGGAGCCCAGGGAAGACGGCGGCGGCAAAGGGGGTGGGGCAGCACATGCCGGCGATCTGTACAAACAACCCAGAGGCTGTATAGACGACAGATCGCTTGTACCTGAACAGCCATCGCCGGCTGTTTAAAATGACACCAGGAACACGGCTGCAGCAGCAGCTGTGTTCTTAGTTGAACCACTTCTGCGGGCCGCCGTCTATGGACGTATTGCGGCCCGGAAGAGGCTAAAGCTTTAGCAAATGGTTAGTTAAAATTAGCATATGAGGTCTGGTGGCAGGATCTCTTTAACCACTTCAAGACCAGGTGTTTAGACCCCCTTCCTGGCCAGGCCATTTTTCAGTATTCAGCGCTACCGGCCCGGAGGTGGTTAAATGATAAAATATAAGTTACCAGAACTAAAGCATTCAAGGTGCAAACGTTGTCTTACTGTGTTGCCATGAGGAAGGGACCCTTCATGGTCCTGAAATGTTGCCTGCATGATGCATTTACAATAAATTAGACTAAGTTTGCACCTTGAATGCATTAGCGCCGGTGACTTACCTTTTATCATTTTGAGGATTTACGTGGCGTCATCCATTGTCGTTATTACGAGTACCACATTATTTGAACTTGTCATAGCGCTGTGTGGAGTGCAGATGGTTTTTACATCACTTCAGGTCTCTTTAAAGTCACCCATGGGCACATACTGTACATTAACATTTGTAAGAATAGGCAGAAAAGAACATGTTAAAAGTTTTTCTGTTTGTTTTAAGTCTAACATTGTACAATGTATTAAGCATCTAATTACCATTTTAAAGCTAGGCTATTGCAGTTTACATTCTCAAATAGTCCTCGTCCCTCACTTGATCCTACTCTCGGGGTAGAAAGATGACGTTGTAATTTGGTGGGATGTTTTCTAAGCCGGTTTCCGTAGGAGTAATGTCGAGAGTTTTAGGATCCACGGGAGACTTCAGTGTGAATTTTTGCAGAAGCGTGGTGAAAAAGAGGAAAACCTCCATGCGCACCAAACTTTCTCCAATGCACGATCTCTTTCCTGAGGCAACGACAATGAACAGATTAAAGTACCGCAAGAAAATTTAGAGAATTTACATTGTAGATCTCTAAGAGATGAACTTTCTTATTCTAAATGATCCTCAGCAACCAATAGAAATGAAAGGATATTAGTTCCTGATCCTGATAAATACAACATATCCCGCTATTGTACTGTACCACTCTTCCATCCTTTAATGACTATTTCAAGATACACTGTCACTTTTCCCTATTAAGGGCAAAGTGACAGGGTTTGTGTAAAGCCATTTCCCCTTACCAGACCACTGATACTCACCTCTCCAGCGATCCCTCCATCCTTCCAACTCCTTCCTCCATTGCACAAAATACCAGGTGCTTCCAGATATTTAGGAGCGTGTAGTTAGGACTAGTGTTCAATTGCTTGGCCGTCACATGATAAAGTGGGGAAGGCCAATGCTTCCTCTAAGGTATTTTGATGTTACCGACCCATCACCAATCTTAAAGGGTCACGTGGAACTGGCACATACCAGCTACGAGCATACATGTCCTTAGAAATATTGAATATATTTTGTGCTGTATCCCCCCAAACATTTTTTTTTACTAAACTTCAGCTTTAGTGATCGCAACACTACACCCTCATGGTAGCATTTAACCATTGCCTAGACTGCAAAAATGACTTGCTGAACATTTTGGGCCTGATTAACTAACGCAAACACGCACGCTTTTAGCGCGTGCATTCCAATACAGGCGCGAAAACACGTGCAAACGCATTTACTAACCAAACACAAGCATTCGGAAACGGCATCATGCCTAGGAGTCGTGTAGCCATGTATTTACATACGTGCACATCCTATTGCATGCACTATAAGCTGTGACATGCAAATAGTGGTGTGAGAAATTAAAAAATAGTGTTTAGCATGCAATCATATATGGGAAACTTACAGCAATAGGAATACATTGGAATAGTAACCCTTTAACCAAAAAGGTTTAAAAAAGCACCCTGAATATAGTAAAAACATAGTTTAAAAAACTTTACCTGACAGAGCACTGGCGTGTGGAGATCTGGAGAAGCCAACTGTGGATGCGTGTGCTCCAGTTTACACACTTTTTGCCTTCTAAAACACAATCACGCCGCATTAGCCATGATGCCATGAACGCACACAACACACCAGCCGTGTGATGACAGTGCAGGGAGTGTGCTCATACCAGCAACATGCCATGAACGCACAACACACCAGCCGTGTGATGACAGTGCAGGGAGTGTGCTCATACCAGCAACATGCCATGAACGCACAACACACCTGCCGTGTGCTGACAGTGCAGGAGGTGTGCTTATTCCAGCAACATGCCATGAAAGCACAACACACCTACAGTGTGACGAGAGTGCAGGAGGTGTGCTCATTCCAGCAACATAGTATGAACGCACAACACACCTGCCGTGTGATGACAGTGCAGGTGTGCTCATTCCAGCAACATGCCATGAACGCACAACACACCTACCGTGTGATGACAGTGCCGAAGGTGTGCTCATACCAGCAACATGCCATGAATGCACAACACACCAGCCGTGTGATGACAGTGCAGGGAGCGTGCTCATTCCAGCAACATGCCATGAACGCACAACACACCTACCGTGTGACGAGAGTGCAGAAGGTGTGCTCATTCCAGCAACATGCCAAGAACGCACAACACACCTGCCGTGCGATGACAGTGCAGGAGGTGTGCTCATTCCAGCAACATGCCATGAATGCACAACACACCTACCGTGTGACGAGAGTGCAGAAGGTGTGCTCATTCCAGCAACATGCCAAGAACGCACAACACACCTGCCGTGCGATGACAGTGCAAGAGGTGTGCTCATTCCAGCAACATGCCATGAACTCACAACACACCTGCTGTGTGATGACAGTGCAGGGAGTGTGCTCATTCCAGCAACATGCCATAAAAGCACAACACACCTACAGTGTGACGAGAGTGCAGGAGGTGTGCTCATTTCAGCAACATGGTACGAACGCACAACACACCTGCCATGTGATGATAGTGCAGGATGCATGGCCTACTTTTATAATGGTAACACATGAAATTGTGTTAACCCACATTGCGTCACTATCTAGCACATTGTGAGCAGGAACTGCATTTCTAGTGCATTGAAATGAATGACCAAACCACATACCTCCTGCACTGTTAACACACGGTAGGTGTGTTGCATGTTACACTGTGTTGCTTGCACGATATGGGTCGATTAATGCATTGCACCACTGTGGGTCCTTGATGTTCCAGTTCTTGTTATGCCACTGTAGATTGTGAATGTCCAACTATGTCTGGTCAAAGTAAAGATTTAAATACAAAAATAAAAGGAAACTATTTACTTAAATGTGACTTTAAAACTTATTATTTGGATGTAATAATTAACACTTATTGGTGTTTAATTTTAGACTCTTAACATCATAGGAGAGACAGCCAGGAGTGAGAGTGAAGGGAGAAAGCCAGGTGAGAGAGAGCGAGGAGAGACAGCCAGGGGAGAGAGCGAGGAGAGACAGCCAGGAGAGAGAGTGCGAGGAGAGACAGCCAGGAGAGAGAGTGAGAGGAGACAGCCAGGAGAGAGCGATGAGAGGCAGCCAGGGGAGAGAGCGAGGAGAGGCAGCCAAGGGAGAGAGCGAGGAGAGGCAGCCAAGGGAGAGAGCGAGGAGAGGCAGCCAAGGGAGAGAGCGAGGAGAGGAAGCCAGGAGAGAAAGCCAAGAGAGGCAGCCAAGAGAGAGAGCAATGAGAGGCAGCCAGGAGAGAGAGGGGGGACAGCCAGGAGAGAGAGCAAGGAGAGGCAGCCAGGAGAGAGAGAGGAGGGACAGCCAGGAGAGAAAGCCAGGGGAGACAGCCAGGAGAGAGAGAACTGCAAGCATTGCTTAAAAATCAAACATCTCTGCTTTTATCAAATGGGTAATAAGCATCCTAAATGCAGGGAGGCTCTTCATCTGGATCTTTAGATTTTTGGAATCTTAGCTCTTTAAACATCAGGCTGGAACATTGCACTATAGGCAAGCTTACCTGCTGTCTCTGCTTGGGAAGCTCAGTCTCTAACATAACAACCTGCCACCCTAACTCACAGACATACAGCAAACAGCTCCACCTACTGGCCAGAGTCCCACCTCCTGCACTGCACACTACAGATGGAGGAGCACCCGTCCTATCTATATACATGCTGACCGTGTGTATGACATCTTGTCACAATGATCCCTGTATGTGCTGTGTCTGGGTTGCAGGTCAGCAGTGACCCATACACAGCACATATAGGAGCTCAAAAACCGGACTGTCCGGGTGAATCCTGGACAGGTGGCAACCCTAGTGCTAGGTTGTCTTGGTCTGGAAGACCTGAATAAGCACCCTGGACTCTCCGAGGTCGTTTGGAAGGAGGCCAGCAACTTCATCATCCCTCTCCTCTATGAGTGCTGGTGTAAAATGGCTTCTCGTCTTAGCCTACTAAGGATAGTCTTCATCCCCATGATAGCCAAGTGTGTGCGTGTGGGCAAAACTGCGGTTGGCTGGATGGAAGCAAGGCTTTGGGGTTTTGTTTCTGCTGTTGCAAAAATAAATGTTAGATTTCTTTTCATACGGTCTTTGTTTCATTTTAGAGCCTTGACAAACAAACATGCACAACATGTGGTGTTTATGTATGTCAGATTAAAGCTAAAAAAAAGTGTCAAGGAAAGGGCCTTTTCAGGCAGCTGGATGGGGAACATTCAAGACATTCCCTATGCATGTTACACAAAGAATTTGGGCTTATGTCCCTAATTTGTGTGTTTTTACTGTAACATTATTTTCCTTAAAAAACAAAAAACCTGCTTTTGAAGATCCCATTTACATGGCACAGATCCCCTCCTGATCAGAGCAGTATGGAGCAGACATAACCGCTGTGACATCTGTGTGCAGCCAGTTGTCTTTTTCTTCCACCTTGCGATGGAGGAAATAACTGAAACTGCCAGACCCCATGTCAGTCTACAGGCAATCAGATGTAAGCAGACATGTGTTGCACCAGACCTGACTGTGCCAGATCTGGGGTAATCTGATGTAGATGGACATATCTCAAATCTGTTTGTTTTTCCACACCTGGCCGGAGTGGGGGGGGGGGGGGGGGGGAATCGCACCCTCGTTCAATTTTCGTTCAAATAGCCCATCATGCACAGACCAATGTAGTTTTCGATGATGATTTGTCAGCACAACTAATTGGCCGATTTTTGTCGATCGACAGAACAGATTTTGGTTTGCACATGTGCAGTTTTCATCTTGCAATTTTTGTTGTACAAAAACGCCACTAATCCATAAATTTACATCCATTTCGACTAAAGTTTTCTAGTCTGCCCGTTCAACCAAATTTGGCCAGTTGTACAGTAATTGTGGTTGTGCACTTCCCATCAACTGGCCCATTATCGGACGAAACCGCGATCGCGGACGAAAATCGTGCAATAATCGCAAGGTGTATAGGCACCTTTACATTGGACATCCAATCAGGTCCACCTGAAAAACTGACAGGCGGACCTGATCGGAATGCTCATGTGAAAGGGGCCTTGAATTTTGGTACAGCACTGCAAGCAAATGGCAGCAATGCTACAATACTAGGCAAGATATTTCTGTTTCCACAATTCTATATGCTAGTCTTTGGAGTGCGGGGGGAAGTTAAAGTTCTCTGAGAAGGCCCACACAAGCACAGGGAGAATAAATCTGTCTGGGCCAGAATTTGAACCAAGGATGGAGATGCAGTGGGGCAGCAGTTCTAACCCTTGAGCCAATGGGCTGCCTTAAGAGTATTACGATCATGAATCTTGGGTGCAGCACTGCAAGCAAATGGCAGAAATGCTATAATAATAAGCATGATATTTCCCTTTCCACAATCCTAGTCTTTGGAGTGTGGGGGAGAAGTTAGAGTACTTGGCAAAGGTTTATGCACACACAGGATGAACATGCAAACTCCATGTGGTTCTCATCTAGGCTGGGATTTGAACCTGGGATAGAGGTGTTGCAGGACAGTAGTTGTAACCCCTAAGCCATTGGGCTGCCTTGAGGGCAGTGTGATCATGAATCTTGGTAGAGCACTGCAAGCAAACGGCAGAAATGCTACAATAATAAGCAAGATATTTCCCTTTCCACAATCCTACATGTGGGTTGGGGTATTTTGAGGAGGCACATGCAAGCAAAGGGAGAATATACCCACTCCATATCATCTGGTCCAGGATTTGAACCAGGTATGTAGGTGCTGTAGAGCAGTGATGCTAACCTCTAAGCCACTGGGCTGCCCCAAGGGCATTATGATTATGATTATGATTATGATCATGATCATGATCATGAACAAGATAGTCTAAAGGATATTATCCACTCCTTAAAAGTGGCTTGGAAAAAGGAAGCAGTTGAAAATCAAATTGCAGATAGGTTACAATAAGCAAGATATTTGCCTTTCCACAGTCCCATACAATACTATCTAACATCATGCAGCAATCCTTTAAAATATACCAAAAACGTATTTCCTTACATGTGCATGCTGAAGCGGTGCTCGTGTATTTTTTGCAGCATTTACGAACGTGTGCATTTCTCACTTTGCCATTGATTCACGCCTATTAGCACGCTATCGCGCCATATGGGTAAGCGATGGCGCGCACATCTGGACGTGTTTTTTTCTTGGTGTGTTCGGGGCGTGTGTGTCAGGTTAGTAAATCAGGCCCTTTTAATCTTATTAATTTATAAAATAGCATATCAAGCAGAGCTGCCTTAAGGCTAGGTGTGGCATTTGTCCTACAAAGCCAAGCAAGGTTCTCTGTAAAGCAACATTTCACATGTCACCCTATCAGGAATGCTCTGCATATATCTTAGTATTAAAATTAGTAATAACAAATCTTGCATACCTGCAGCAAATGGCATGAATCCATTATTTTTCTTAAACTTTCCATTCTCATCCAAAAAATGTTTGACATTAAATTCTCCTGGAGTTTCAAACTGTGATGGGTCATGTAAAACTGTCGTCAGCACTGGTAAAATGTCTGTGCCCTGAAGAAGAGATCTGAGTTAATGTACCTAGGCCAAACACAGCATCATCACACTGCCAAAACTTCCTGCACACAGTTGTGACCTCTTCTGGCCAATGAAATGTATGAGCTTGGGTTTGGGAAATGAAGATGGTGGTATCAGATCCCATTCAGAGGCATAAAAAGACTGAGCAAAGTATCTGCAAACTTATCAGCTGAAAACACATAGTACCAAATATAAAACATTCTAACTTGAGGGAGGGGAAACCACTATCTGGCAACTCTAGAGATAATGCCATGAAGCGAGCAGAGATAAAGTACACCCAACCAGGCTCCAACAACATCATAACATTATAGATCATGTAATCTAGAGCTGCCTGGATCTCAAAATGGTATAGCACAACATATCCAGAAGAGGGGTTCCAGAAGAGAAGTGCCTTATAGCTGGAGAGTTCTAAAGATGTGGCTACATTAGGACTTGGATGCAGTGTTCACCATTGCCTGAAAAACCTGGTATTTCTAAACACCAAATTTTATGTGACAACCTATTAGAGCATGTTAAAAAAAGATTGTAGTCTGTAGCAACCAATCAATATTAAACTTTCATTTGATCCAGCTTGATTAAACTAAGTTGTATTGGCTTCTCTGTCACAATATCACTAGCTTTTCTATCTTTCATTCAATAAGCCAAAGTGCCATGGCCTTGACTGACTTTGTCTCAGTGTTTAGTTGTTAACTAATAGTGCTCAGTTCAGCATGACAATTACTGTAATAATGCATATCAACCCAGCAGAACTCATCTATCATTGATCTGACAACATGAACTAAAACTGAATTGTGTGGTATGGACTTCTGTAATGATAATAGCAGTCACATTGTGATACTACTAAGACGTTCTACCTTGGGGAGGTTATATCCACGGAGGGTCACATCGGCCATGGCTGATCTGATACATCCCATAGGTAATACATCACTAATTCTTTGAATCTCATGTATGATGGCATTCATATATGGCATCTGGTTCCTGTCTTCCACTCTCGGGTCTCGTGTTCGACCAATTACCTTATCAATTTCCTCATGAAGTTTATCTGTAGTTAACAAAGAAAATATCAAGAATGAGGATGAAAGATGTCTGAAGTCTCTGATTTACCAAGCCAAGAACTGGTACTTTATTTAAAGTGTAGCTTCACTTTTTGAGCGGATTAAACACAACTGTAATACATGAATACATTATCATGTGCATTTTATTTTTATGTGTTTGAACTGTTATAAGCCAAATGTCTTTCAAACTAAATAGCAGTTAATCCAGAATATAATGCTTCCTTTTCTAGGGAATAATCTAATAGAGAGGAATACTTACCTTACTCCCTGCTCTCCCAACTGCTTTCAGCTGTGACTGCCAGTCTCCCGAAGGTGCTTTACTTGCCGACTCCAACTGGTCTGGTCACCCTTGTCACCAACGCCTTCACATGAGGCCACTGTGGGTTTTCTTGTTGCTCTTCTGTAGCCTCCTAGACAGTGCAATGGTCGCGTAATGATATGTGAATGATGTGCTGTCCAGAAGTACTGTGAGCCAAGGCCAGTGTGATGTTGCACTCTATCGGGTGTGTCTATGATGGCCTGGGTCCACAGGAAGTGGGTATAAGGCTGTACGTCATTCAACCCAGAAGACTGGTGGCACTTTATGGAGCAAAAGAGATAATTTGGTGGTGGTGAGATCGCAACTCCACATTAAAGGTGAGTATTGCAGCTAGGACTGTGTTTTTTTGCCATGCTTGGCCTTAGTTTAAAAAACAAAAACAAAGGTGGGATTGGACTTAAAGTGTGAGATACCATATGTACTCCAACAAGTCTATATTACCTTTAACTTTGCAATTCCATTGTGTGTAAAACATTGAGAGCAATAGTTACTGTACATAGACAGCAATAATTACCTTGTATCTCTGGATACTTTATAAAATACAAGACTCCAAAACTTAATGTAATTGATGTGGTCTCTGCTCCTCCAAGGAACATGTCAAACACTGTGGACAGCAAGTGCTTTGCATGAAAAGAAGTTTTGGAATCCAGTTTTTCCTATGGTGACAAATTTAAAGTCAGATGCAGAGACTGCGAATATTTCATAAGCTTGGATACAAATGTAGCACAATTAGCACAAACAGCATCAAAACATAAGTGTGCCAAAATATAGTGCACAACAGCTATTACATTTGCACAAAAAGAACATATGGATTTTGTCAGAGCTTAGATTGTTAAATGTAATGTGTGATCCGTTTTTAAGTTAAACATGTAAAAAAATCAGCTTCATGAAAATATTCTTATCAACATCTGTTAAACCCAATGATATATTGCAAACAATGCACTCCCTCTGTGGCTAATATCTTATCTCAGCAATTTTTGAGTGAGACAGAATATTTGCACTGGGTCACTAATAGTCCCCCACTAATGTAAAATCTCTAAATGTATTAACAACAAAACAAAGCACAATCATGGCAAATGTAAAAGTCACATCAAAAAGTACTTGCGTCAACTAACGGAATGTAAAATTCTGCATTGTGCAAAATTGTTTTACGATAAAGGAAAAATAAAATATACATCAAAAAATTATTAAAACTACTATAGTCTGCTTTATTGGTACATGGTACATAATAAATCACCACAGAACTGCACATTTTTTGTACAGATACCACATTAAACTTTGCACAATTTTCTCCTGGTGTATGTCACGAAGCATTTTTTTTAATAAGCCAATATATTGTTATATTATTGTGTATTATAATATTGATAAATACATAAAATGTTGTACAGAGATCTAAAGCCATCATGCTAATATTGTAAGATGCACAGCTTTATAGCACATGATGTGATGACTATACAATTCATAGTGGTGATGGTTGAAGGAACAGTGACTTTCACCAATATATATATATATTTCTACATATTTCATATAATTTATTACAGATTAATGTCTATACATCGCGACCATCTTTGATTCAATTACTGTTTTTCAATACAAGCACATGATCCTGAAGAAGCAGCACTTGCCTTGAAACGCGTAGACCAAGAGAAAATTGATGTGCAGAGTTTATACCTATTTAGTATATGTACATATAATCAACAGCTCTGTGGCAATGTACTATAGTTCTTCTATAAGATGCATGGTGATGCATTTTATTACACATAGGTATGTCTTTTAAAGTAAAATGTACGAATCAATCAATAATATTTTATTTTAAATATTTTCTACCGTCATTGCTGAACAT